TGTTTTTGTTTTTCAAGACAGGGTTTCTCTGTGTAACAGCTCTGGCTGTCCTGGAACTCGCTCTTGTAGACCGGGCTGGTCTCACAACTCACAGAGATCCACCTGCCTCTGCCTCCCGAGTGCTGGGATTAAAGGCGTGTGCCACCAATGCCCGGCTCCAAGAACATTTTAATAAACATTTGATAAAGATCATCTATATTTAGTTTTCTAGGGCTCTAATTTTAATTTTAAAACAATACACTATGAATAATCCCCAAAACGGAAAAGAAATCACTATCGGGTGAGTAGTGGTGGTGCACACCTTAATTCCAGTGCTAGGAAGGCAGAGGTCAGTCTGGTCAACATAGTGATTTTCACAACAGCTAGGGGGCCATGGTGAGAAATCCTCTCTCTAACACTAAGATATGGGGGCTGGAGAGATGGCTCAACAGTTAAGAGCACTTGTTCTTGCATAGGACTTGGGTTAGATTCCCTGTACCCACAGGGAGGCTGGCAAGCATCCATAACTCCAGTTCCAAGGGCTCCAACACCCTCCTCAGGTGGTACACAGACGTTCCTGTGAGCAAACCAATTCATACACATATATTGTTTTTATTTTAAAAACATCTTGAAAAATAAAAGCCACAAAAAAATTAACCTCGTGGAATTGGGACTTGGGGTGGGTATATGAGGTTTTAGAAATTATATGTCTAATACCAAAATTGGGGAGGCAAACCTACTTGATGTAATTCGTACACTTGAGGCTGGGAAAGGGACTCCAATGGTTTAACGTCCAAACATGAATCTCTCCTCTAACCAAGTTCTTATCCAAAGAGATGTCAACACAACTTAGTATGACAAGTACCAAAATAGTCTGTTAGGTCTTAGGTATGCTTTCAAAGTACTTCAAAAAAAACTTCCAAAGACAAATTGCTAGTTCCTTGGAAACTGTAGAATCTTCCAGTTCACGAATATCCAGATTTCAGCTGATAAAGCAGGATCTGGAGTCAATTCTGCTTTCCCCCATCCTCACCCACATTAATTTCCCCTACCTCGGTAGCAGATGGTTACACACAGATAAAGACTTTGAAGACACCTAACAGGTCCCCAAGTACAGCCCACCCCTCCTCCTCCACCCAAGAACTCCTGTTTTACAATATGCCACACGCACGTCACTCCACCTCAACAGCAGCGGGTCCCCTGGAGACAGAAACTTGTGTCTGTCACTCAGTTTCTCCGTGTTCTATACACACTGTCCACGCAGCCTCGCTGCCCCCCCCCCGACACACGTATGCGCTACCCCAGAACAGACGCTTCAGGGACACCTGGGTCCTACAAACGAGCGTCCCAAGTTACTCCTTCCCGTGGTGCCTCCGCTTCCCCCTTTCGATTAAAAAAAGCAGAAGAAGCTGAAAGAGACGAGAGAGGAGGCGGTGACAGGACGAGAAGCTGCCGACAGGCCCGGCCTGGCGGACCCGGAGCTCGCAAGGGAACCGGCAGGACGTGCGGGCGGAAGGCCCACGCGACAACCAGCAGCCCGGGTGGGTCGGAGTGTCGGGCGGACGCGGCGGTGCCGCCGGCGGAGGCCTGGGGGGCGCGGCAGCTCGCTCGGGTTTCCCCGGAGGCCGCGCCAAGCAAGCCCGGGCCGCCAGCGGGGCTCCGGGCGCGGCTCCTGCGGTCCGGGCCCAGCCGGCCAGCACGGGGCGAGCGGATCCGGCTCGGAGCTTACCATGGTGAGGCCGCAGGTGGGGCGCACCACGCTCTGGCTCCGCTGGGGCTCGGGCTGCGGCCCAAGGAAGCGGAGCTCCGGCCGCTCCGGACCTGCTGCCCCTGACAGGAGCCTCCGCCGCTTCGCCTCTTGCCAAGATGGCGGACCCAAGCCACGTCTCCAACCGGAAACGGCGCGGGTCAAAGGGCGGGGGGCGGGGCCGGCAGGCAAATCCTGGGTACTAGTCTGATTTTTGACTCCGTTATCCCAGGGCTAGAAAGAAATTTGGCTTGAGTTGTGGAGCATCATCCTTTTTGTCCTTACTTTGTGTTCACCTGCGTTTTACTCAATGTCTCTTCTTACAGTTCATAAAACCATTTAATTGAACATATGAAATAATCCGTGTGCATGAGGAACTAGTATCCAGAATACACAAAGAATGTTTACAACTCCATAATAAAGCCAGCATGGGCCCCTCTACTGTAATTCCAGCACTCAAGAGTCTGAGGAAGAAGAGCAAAAGTTGGAGTCCAGCCTAAGCGCCAGTATCGAGTTAAAGGTCAGTTTAGTAGACATTGGCAAACACCCACCACCAAAATAATAATAATGATAATACTCATCATCATCATCATCAAAATAAAAGCGTCCAGGACAGACTCCAAAAACAATACAGAGAAACCCTGTCTTGAAAAACCAAAAAAGAAGTAAATATTTTTTAAATTAGAAAAACACTCATAAGTAGAAAATAAAAGTAAAAACAAATACATCTTTTTTTTCTTTTTTTGGTTTTTCGAGACAGGGTTTCCCTGTGGCTTTGGAGGCTGTCCTGGAACTAGCTCTTGTAGACCAGGCTGGCCTCAAACTCACAGAGATCCACCTGCCTCTGCCTCCCGAGTGCTGGGACTAAAGGCGTGTGCCACCAATGCCCGGCTACATTTTCTTTTTCTTAAGAAGAAAAAATATGCTGGGTGGTGGTGGTGGTGGTGGCGGCGCGGCGGCGGCAGCAGCGCACGGCTTTAATCTCAGCACTTGGGAGGCAGAGGCAGGCAGATCTCTGTGAGTTCGAGGCCGGGCTGGACCGACAGCCTCCAAAACAATACAGAGAAACCCTGTCTCGTAAAAACCAAAAAAAAGAAGAAGAAGAAGAAGAAGAAGAAATATGATTTGCTGTTCTGCTGCCCAGGAAAGTTAACTACAAAAAAACAACATGGTTTATGAAAAGGCTAGAAGGAAGGACTCTGATTTTTTTCTTAACCACAAAGAAATGAGACCTGGCTGGGTGTGGTACACTGGGAGGCATTCAGGCAGATCCCTGAGTTTATGGCCAGTCAGGCCTACAGAGTGAGTTTCAGGACAGTCAGGGCTGCAAGGAGAAATCCTGTCTCAAAAAAACCAATGGCAGCTGACAACTGTCTGTAACTCTAGTTCCAGGAGATCTGGTATCCTCCCACAGACATACATGCAGGCATAACACCAATGCACATAAAATAAAAAGAAATAAAGTATATACAAACAAACAAAAGAAATGAGAACTGTTGGTGATACACATATATAACAGTAACCCTGGAGAAGCAAAGGCAGGACTACTGTGAGTTTGAGGCCAGTCTCATCTGTATAGTGAATCTAGGCCATCGAGAGTTTTGAGTCCAGGCCAGCCAGAGTTGCACCATGAGCCCTTGAATCAAAAAAAAAATGGTTAAGGATCTAGAAATGATTTGAATATTCTGCATTGTACAATGTATGGAAATACTGTCACATAAATCTGTGCAATTTTTAGGTATCAATCTTTTTTTTTTTAGAAGTATGTCTTATTTTCTCATCCCCTGCCCTTTTTTCCTTTAATTTGTTTTTTTTTTTTTTGTTTTGCTTTTTTTTCCGTTTTTTTCGAGACAGGGTTTCTTTGTATTGTTTTGGAGGCTGTCGGTCCAGCCCGGCCTTGAACTCACAGAGATCCACCTGCCTCTGCCTCCCGAGTGCTGGGATTAAAGGCGTGCGCCACCACCGCCGGCCCTTTAATTTATTTAGACAAGGTTTCCCTGTGTGGCTCAGGCTAACTCTAACCTGGAGTCCTTTTTTTTTTTTTTTTTTTTTTTTTTGGTTTTACGAGACAGGGTTTCTCTGTATTATTTTGGAGGCTGTTGGTCCAGCCTAGCCTCGAACTCACAGAGATCTGCCTGCCTCTGCCTCCCGAGTGCTGGGATTACAGGCGTGCACCACCACCACTGACTGCCCGGCCGCCTGGAGGTCCTCTTGTCTCAGTTCCTGAGTTGGAATTGCAGGTATGTGCGATCTGAACATTGTTTTTCTTGCTAATTCTTCCTGACCCCCCTTTTCCTTGAGATTTTTCAAGGCTGGCTTTCTGTGTGTAGTCCTAGAACTCGTTTTTTAAGATCACGTTGAATCCACTCAGAGATCTGCCTGTCTCTGCCTCCCCAGTGTTGGGATTCCACCAATGCTCACCAAAGTAAAGTGTTTTTATTGTTTTTAACCACAGTATTTTATTGTTTTGAGATAAGATCTCAGGACCCTAAGCTGGCCTAAAACTCACCAAGTTTGAAGCTGATTTGGAACGTCTAATCCTCCTGCCTCCATCTCCCAAGTGCACTTTGCCCGGCTCATAGTTTTCCTTCTTTTTTTTTTTTTTTTTTTTTGTTTCAGAGCATGACATGGTTTTACTTGTTTTAAAATTTCAACAAACAGACACACACAGGTCCATTCTTCAAGGATGGAGCAAAGCCATGTAGGATCCCAGAGGCCTTGCAGAGGAACAGGATTTGTGAGTTGTAATGGTTATCTCATCCCAGAATTTCCAGAACACTGGCCTCCATGGGTCCTATGTCTCCCTTCTTCTTGTGCCTCAAGGCCCTTGCACAAGCCATCCAGATGGCTTCTGTTATCTCACACTATCACTGAGCTTTCATGATTCCATGCAGACATCTGCCTTATCCTGTCATGACACGATTCCTCAGAGGCCTCCTTCTTTTTTTTTTTTTTTTTTTTTTTTTTTTTGGTTTTTCGAGACAGGGTTTCTCTGTATTGTTTTGGAGGCTGTCGGTCCAGCCCGGCCTCGAACTCACAGAGATCCTCCTGCCTCTGCCTCCCGAGTGCTGGGATTAAAGGCGTGCGCCACCATCGCCTGGCCAGAGGCCTCCTTCTACCTGCACGATGGATCTCATCGACAATTCCCTCTGTAAACTCGGGCAATGCAGGGTCTTGATAACCACTCTACACAAACCCAGGATCCCTGGGGATGCACAGGTTGTGGATACAGGGAAGGGGTTGGGAGGGCGGGGACACAGACTTAGCACCTTGAGGCACCTCCCTGTGTGCTATTGGATAGGCCCATGCACAAGAGTCAGAGGAGTGGGAGGCAGGCTGTTGGTGTCACCATGCCCCCTATAAAAGAGGGAGGATGCATCTACTTGGCACAGGGACCCCATTGAACTGCTAAGTTAGGCCGGCACTTGAATGGGGTCAGCTTGCTGTTGGTGAAAAAGACTCATCCTTAAACCACCTAAATAAGTGTTCACAGAGCCCAACTCTCAGAGACACCACTCATTTTCCAGTGGGGAGTCTGTACCACCATCCCCAGCCTGAGAGGGTCTGTTTATACTCCACATAGAACTAGGCCTGAGGACACTCCACAGTCAGAAGGTCTTCAACCCATGGACACTCCATGGGCTTCATCTTTCAAGTTTGACCTGGCAGAGAGTAGGCCCACTGTGACCAGGTAGAGGCAGTTGGGTAGCATGATGACAGAGGATTTATTTAGATCTTTCCAGTCCCCACTTGGGATTAGTAAATGTCTGTGAGCAGTTCCTGCACCTGACTGGCGGGCAGCTCACTCGGCGCTCAGGAAGACCCTCTTGCGGGCAGTGTTGGTATAGGGGTGCCAGCGCCACGCCACGTCTGCTGTGGCCTCCTGCTCCAGTGTGCCCAGGCGAATCATGTACAACTTTGGCTCAAATCGAGGTCCAACCTCAGTCAGCTCAACATTGCGGTGGTCTGTCTTCTTGTAGACATGGTGCCGGAATGAAATGTAGTCGTCCTGCTTTGCAAAGGTGATGACCCGATGGCTGTCGTCTTTTGGCACAGGGAATAGGTAACGAAGGATATCAGACACCCGCTTGCCCAACTGGGAGGTAAAGCTGTGAGTGATGAGGTGAGGCTTAGCCTCTGACATGGTGCCCAAGTCAGGGATGTCGTGCCGCATGACCACATTGCACAGTGTGAAGTAGGCGGTGGGACCGAAGGGCAGATGGCTGACAATGAGCCCCACAGGTGCGCCTCGATGCTCATGGGCAACCAAAAGGTCAGTGACCCCATTGGCTTTGCACGCTCGCACCAGTGCCCCAACCTCATGCCGACCTCGGTTCACGCGCTGGGCACCCGGGAACACCAGCTTCAGTTCCTTTGCAAACATCTTCAGACGAGAAATGGGGTCCCGAGAGGTAGTGATCATGATCTTAGGATCCTCAACCCCAGCCCATCGATATTCATCATCTACATGGCTGGTCACACCTTCACCGCCAGCATCATCGAACTCCAGGGACCCCTCCCTGTAAGGCTAGAGCCTCCCGGCGTAGCTCAGTGGGAATCAGTTGGTTTTCTTCTAGAGCACGCTTGACTCGCTCCTTCTTCTGAATGGATCGCTGCGCATCCTCCCGGGCCTTGCGGTACAGGTACTCGCGGCACAGGCGAGCCTCCCGAGGAGCATGATGAGCGCCGCTCCAACATGAGAGTGTGATCTTCAGGCGCCCGCCGGCACCACCCATAGTTTTCTTTAGCAAGTAAAAACACAGGAAACAGTTAAACCCTAATCTCAGCTAAAGGAAGAATAAAGTACACCCATGTGACATAGGACACCGTGAGGAAAAGGGCTATCGTATCATAGAGATGCTATAAAAGGATTTTTTAACACGCTTGAACTTTTCCCCGAAGAGTGTCTAAATTCTAATTAAGCTTATCTAGGAGCCCTGTCTTTGAGATGACAGTTTCCAGTCGGAGGAAAATACCATCAGAATTCCCCAACCACCTTTGGCCACTAGATGTCACAACTGATTCAGTTGCGGAAATCATAGACAAGCCGGCCGCTTGGTCGCCTAGAGTGTCGGGTCGCTCTATCCCAGCGCCGCCGCGTCCCTGCTTCCGCCATCACCGGCGAGGGGGTGGGGCGGGGTTGGGTGGCTGGCACAGTAGGTCTCGCGATTACTCCTCCTCGCTCTCGCTCTGTTTTATTTTATTTATCTTTTTGCCTAGCGACTGACAACAGGCTAGGCAACAGGTTTGCTACACTTAGGGATTCCTGAAGTGGCCGGGCCTGAGAATGAGACCCCAGTCCTAGGCTGGGGTTCTTTCCAAATAGAGGAAACGGATCCAGAGGGGCTACAGGTAATTGGTGCTCACGCCAGGAGACACCCCTCACCCGCTCACCTCCACGGCCGTTCTTCACTCTCCGCGCCCAACCAGCTACCCTGGATCCTTAGCTCTCCAAGAAACCAATGGGGTCCTGTCTTCAAAGCGGTGGAAGTAGTAATGGTGATGCTTTAGGGATTAGTGGTTGTGGCCGATACTGGAGTCGGCCTTCTCGCAGGACCATCCTTCCCATCTCGGCCCAGAGGTGACCCCCAGACTCTGCCCAGACTCTAGAACCTCTGTAGTTCAGTCCCTGTACCCCCACCCTCCCCAGAAGCCTCAACAGCTGTAGGAAAACTGACCAAACCCCAGACGATCGCCGTCTACCCACGCATGCTGTGCTTCCCTTGAGTGCATCTTACTGTAGCTTTTGGTTTGCTGCTGGAAAAGGTTGGATGTCGTTTTCCTCTGCAGTTCTCTCGGCTTCAGCCAGTGCTAGCTAAATAAGGGTTGAAGCTTGCTCTGGAGTCAGGAAGCTTTCCTTTGAGGAAAGTTGGGTGGGGGCGAATGCATCTCTGCGCGGAGTCCTCAATGCATAGCCCATGGTAGGAGTTACATATCTCCTTTTGCTTAGACCAAAATTGTTGAGAACCAGACTTACGATGAGCGTCTAGAGATTAACGACTCGGAAGAGGTTGCCAGTATTAGCACTCCAACCCCAGGACATCAAGGTAAGAGAGGAAAAGAGAGACACGAAGGGAGGTGGTTTTCAAAACGCTAGCCCAGATTGGGTTCGCGTTTGTATCAGCAAGCGTTAACCTTGCGAATCAAGCACTTGATTTTGCTTTCTCACTCGTTGAGGGAGAAAGCAGTTCATCAGATTGCAGAATCTTCTAGTACAAGCTCATCCCCTATTGTTGTTTGCTTCATGTTACTGCTCTGTATAGATTCTGCCACAGATTGGCTGTGTTTCGTTGTGTTTTAACTATTTTTTTAAAAAAGTTTTATGTGTATGGGTAGTTTTTTGGTTTTTATGTTTATTTCAAAATAGGGTTTTAGTCAGTGAAGACTAGGCTAACCTGGTACTCACTATGTAGCTCAGGCTGGCCTGAATTTGAGGTACCCTTCTTGCTTTAGTCTCCCAAGTGCTATAAGCTACCATGCCTAGTGACTTGAACAAATTTATGCTCTTGCCAGCTGTGGACTTGTTTTCAGCTGGGTAATTTAGTAAGTCAAAAAATGCTAATTTGCATGTATTTGACTTAGAATTCATCTAACATGTTTTCATGCTGGTTACTCTTACATCTGATTACACTTTTGATTTTGGGATATGCTATTATTTTTACAGATTGTCTTACTGCTCTTACACCCAGATTCAAATTCAAATTCACAACTAGCTGCTATTTGCCAGGCTCTAGGTCACTATCTTCCAGGTAGGCTTTTCACTTGATCCTGTCACTGACCCCATTTAGAGAATACTGACACTCAGAGAGGGTAAGTCACTTGGTGCAAATAATGGAGTTGCCCTCAGACCAGTCTTTCTGTTAGCCCAGCACTCTTTTACGTTGCTAATCACATACCTCACTGTACCCCTTTACAGCTCAGTTTCTAGTCATATGATGGCAGGTAATCAGTGTAGCATCTAATCCAGTGCGTAGGCAAAGGCATATTTATAACAATGTCTTGAATTGACAGAGCTATGACTAGAATTTTGTTTTATTTTTATTTTTGAGACAGGTTTTCACTATGTAGCCCAGGCTGGCCTAGAACTCACTAGATCAGATTGGCCTTGAGCTCACAGATTCACCTGTCTCTCCCTCCCTGGTGCTAGAGCTAACACATGCCATCACACCCAGCTTGCTTTTTATTTGTGAGTGTGTGTGCACATGCACATGCATGTGAGTGCACATGTGTAGGCCAGAGGACAACTTTCAAAAGTCATTTCTCATTTTTTCACTCTGATTTTTTGGGGATGGGACTCAGGTCTTCGGGTTTAAAAGGCAATGGGTTTTCCCCCCTACCGGAGCTATATACTTGGCTTCCTTCATGTTTCTATAAACTTTGTTATATAAAATATTGTAAATTTAGGCTGGGCATGGTGGCTTATGTCTTTAATCCTAGCACTCGGAATGCAGAGGCAGGTGGATCTCTGAGTTCAAGAACAGTCTGCCCTACGAAGTGAGTACCAGGAAAGCAAGGACTACACAGAGAAACCCTGTCTTAAAAAAATAAAACAAAAAGAAAAAAGAAGAAAGAGAAAAAGAAAAACCAGTAAATAAAATGAAAATTAAAAAATTATAAACTTGAAATTTTATTTTATTTATTTTTTATAATCATGTAAACACTAACTAATGAAAACTCTTCTTCTCAGGCCCTCCTCTTTCTGCCAGCCTTCCTAACAAGACTATGGCTGATAACAGCAGTGATGAGTATGAAGAGGAAAACAACAAGGTTCAGTATAATCCACAGCTGCTTTAGGGATTTGGGTCGGGGTGGTCAGTGAGACATTTCCTGAGCATTCACCTCTGGTGGCTTCACACTTTATGAGCCCATCCCTGACACAGACTATCATTACAGCTGCCTTTTTTTTTTTTTTTTTATGTTCATTGGTATTTTGCCTGCATGTATGTCTGTGTGATGGTGCCAGAAACACTGGAACTGGGGTAACAGAAAGGTATGAGCTGCCATGTGGGTGCTGGGAATTGAACCCAGGTCCTCTGGAAGAGCAGTCGGTGTTCTTTTTTTTTTTTGGTTTTTCGAGACAGGGTTTCTCTGTATTGTTTTGGAAGCTGTCCTAGAACTTGGTCTGTAGACCAGGCTGGCCTCAAACTCACAGAGATCTGCCTGCCTCTGCTTCCCAAGTGCTGGAACTAAAGGCATGTGCTACCACTTGAGACAGGTCTTTATAAAACCCTGACTGTTGTGGAACTCACTATGTGGACCAGGCTGGCCTGGAATTTACAGAGGTCCATTCCATCTTCCCCTGCCTCCTGAATGCTAGGATTAAAGGCATGCGCCTCCATGCTAGTCTGACAGTCAATATTCTTTTTTTTTTATTAAAGATTTTATTTATTAATTACATATACACCAGATTGAATTGTAGTGGTTGTGAGCCACCATGTGGTTGCTGGGAATTGAACTCAAGACCTCTGGAAGAGTAGTCAGTGCTCTTAACCTCTGAGCCATCTCTCCAGCCCGACAGTCAATATTCTTAAAAGTTGCCTTTTGCCAAAACTGCCTCCTGAACTGACAGTACTGTTCAGTAGGTAATGATGACCTGAGTTTGATTTTCTGGACCCACATGGTAGAGGGAGAGTTGCAGCAGGTTGTTCTGTATATACACTGTGGCATGTGCACATCCTCCCCATAAATAAATAAAAATGTAATTTAAAAAACCGCTTCCTATGTGATCAAGGATGAGCTCTTACCAATTATGCCAGTATACAATAGTATCCTGACTAAATTCTAAGTTTGTGTTATCTGTTAGAAATAGTGTAGATATTAGAAGTCTCTCTCTCGCTCTATATATATATGTGTGTGTGTGTGTATGTGTGTGTGTGTGTGTGTGTGTGTGTATATGTATATATATATTTATATTTGTTTTTATTGTTTTGGTGTTTTTTGACACAGGGTTTCTTTGTGTGGCCGTGACTATCCTGGAACTAACTCTATAGACCAGGCTCAGAGAGATCCACCTGCCTTTGCCTCCTGAGGGGGTGGCATTTTTTTTTTTTAGATTTTATTTATTTGTTTATTAATATGTATACAATGTTCTGCCTGCATGTCAGAAGAGGGCACCAGATCTCATTACAGATGGTTGTGAGCCACCATATGGTTGCTGGGAATTGAACTCAGGACCTCTGGAAGAGCAGCCAGTGCTCTTAACCTCTGAGCCATCTCTCCAGCCCCCGAGGGGGTGGCATTTTGAGGTAAAAGTCTCTTGTCACTATGGCTGGCTTTGAACTCATAATCTTCCTACTTCTACCTCTTAAATCCAGAGGTTACAGGTATGGGCTACCATACCCACTTTATGTGGCAATGGGAATTGAACTGAGGGCTTCATACATGCTAGCCCTCAGAAACAGCTCTTTCATATGCATTTTGTTTTTTGAGGAAAGGTTTTATGTAACTCAGACTGGCCCTAAACGGGTTATATAGTCAAGGATGACTTTGAACTTCTGATCTTCTTGTCCACTTCCCATAGACCTGTCCAGTTTATGTGTACTGGGGATTGAACAAGAGTTTCCTGCATGCTAGCAAACACCCTACCAATTGAGTCACATCTATAACCTTAAAAACTACTTTTACTATTTGTTTATTCATTTTTATTTTATCCATATAGACATTTTATCTGCATGTATTTCTTTTCTTTTTCTTGTTTTGGTTTCTCAAGGCAGGATTTCTGTGTGTATCCTTGGCTATCCTGGAACTGGCTCTGTAGACAGGGCCTTGAACTCACAGAGATCTGCTCTGCCTCCCAAGTGCTGGATTAAAGACAAATGCTACCATTACCCACCAGTCTGCATATATTTCTGTGCACCATGTGTGTACCTTGTGCCTGTGGAGGCTAGGCCATGACACTGCATCCCCTGAAACTGATGGTTGTGAGGTACTGTGTGGGTGCTGGAAATCAAACCCATATCTTTAACAATGCTCTTAACCACTGAGCTATTTTTCCAGACCCTAAAAGCTACTTTTAAAGGAGTCTAATTAACCACCTGGCAGGGAGGGCATTTACAGGCTACAGGCAACAGAGACAAAGATAAGGACCCAGTCCCAATTATTGTCTCTGCAAGTGCAGACACCACTAGACCCTCTCACGTGGATCTAAGAGAGTAGGATGGAGTATAGCCAGCCAGAAACTCAAAAACGTAGGCTATTGCCAGGCAGTGGTGATGCACACCTTTGATCCCAGCACTCAGGAGGCAGAGGCAGGTGATCTCTGTTAGTTCAAGGCCAGCCTGGTCTACAGAGTGAGTTCCAGGACAGATAGACAGGACTACACTGTGAAACCCTGTGTAAAAAACAAACAAACAAACAAACAAAAAAACAAAACCCAGCAACAAGGACAAAAAATAAAATAAACAAACCAAAAAACTTAGGGGAATAATGCCAAGAACATAGGAGCCCCTCATCCTGAACTAGACTGTGTGTAGTCATTGTGCTTAATTCACAGGGGAGGGGTACTGTGGACAAACCAGACACCTGATGAAGTAGGTATCACTGAGCAAAAATAGGAGGTCTCTACTTTCCAGAGCTGTGTGTGTGAATCCAGGCTCAGGGTTGAGTATCTACTTTATTGTGATATTTTCCGGCCCTTACTCTGAGCATTTTTACAAATCAAATGCTAGGTTTCTCTGAGTACCATGAGCCTGTAAAGTTTGTCTTCCCTACTTCTTCTTTTCCTACTCCCTGAATAATCTCAAGTTGTTATCCTTTTCCAGTATTTATTTATTTATTTATTTGGTTTTTTGAGACAGGCTTTGGAGGCTGTCCTGGAACTAGCTCTTGTAGACCAGGTTGGTCTCCAACTCACGGAGATCCGCCTGCCTCTGCTTCCTGAGTGCTAGGATCAAAGGCATGTGTCACCACCACCCGACTCCAGTATTTATTTTTTTTTAGTTATGCTTGTGTATCTGTGCATGTGAGTACAGGTACCGATGGAGGCCACAAGAGATCCAATCCCCTTGAGCTGGCATTATAGGAGGGAGGTTGCGAGCTGCTTTTTGTAGGTGTTGGGAGCTAAATTCCGGTCCTCTGCAAGAGCAGTATATGCTCTTAGCCACTGAGCTTTCTTTTCCACTCTCTATGATTTATTTTACCCTAATTATGCATAAATGTATGTGGGTTGGGCGTGTGGGGAAGGGGAGTGTGGGTATGGGAATATGGGTGCAGGTGCCCTCAGCACCCTGAAGGATCCCCTGGAATTGGAATTGGAATCCAGGCAGTGGTGAACCACCTGACATGGGTTCTGGGAATGGAATTCAGGTGCTCTTTAACTACTGAGCCGTTTCTCCAGCCCCACCACCTTTTCCTAAATTTAGGGAGTGAGGCTTCTGGGTAAAGTTTATGCAAAACTTCCAAGATCAAGTAATAGGTTCCTAACTATAAGTTGAGTAGAATTGTACCCTGTTTCTAGTAGAGAACTGTGGTTGAAGACAGTGGGGGTCTACTTAGCAGGAGAAGGTTCTCAGGCCCCTAGGGATGGTGCCACCTTTCTAGTGACTAGGTGGCAGAGGTCTAGGCATTATGAGAAGAGTGCACAGTCAGGCATAGAAATTAAATTTCTCTTTATATAAACATTTCTCCCCTGTCTGCGCTGCCCAGGAGAAGAAGAAGCCCTCACAGTTGACACCTCAGCGGGGCTTCAGTGAAAACGATGATGATGACGATGATGACTCATCTGAGACTGATTCTGATGACGATGATGATGATGAAGAGCATGGAGCGCCTCTGGAAGGGTAGGAAGGACCCTTTACCAAGGGGCATTTTGTTCAGGATGGCAGTTAAAAGGATTTATTTGGGAATAGATTGCAGCATTTTTGATATCCTCTATTAGGGTTTTCTCATATCTCAGGAGCCCATCGTTGTGAGTTTTCATTTCTTTCTGGCTCCATTGATCATCTGCTCCTGCGATGTCACTTATTAGAAATATTTGTGGGCTCAGCAGATACACTGGGTTAACCTACAGCATGGCCTCTGCCTTCCAGGAGCTCCCAGTTTGGGAAAGAAGTACACCTGTGCATATGCCAAAGCATTTCTGTCTAGTGGGGCAAACTACGTGCACATAAGCATTTCCATTTTAGGCTGAGATCCTTCCTGGACAGGAGAGAAGAGCTTCAGGGCCTCACATTGAAGCAGGGTTCTTGAGTGATACTAAGTAAACAGCAACAAAAACCATTTTATTAGATTGCAGCCCCATTGTCACAGTGCGTCATGATTCACTCCTATAAGTTATAACCAACATGTATTCTGAATAGCATCCACTTATACTGGGGATATGGCTCAATGGTCATGTGTTTGCCTATACATGTGAGGCCCTGCAAAAAAACAACAAACATACCTGAAATCTCAGCTACTTGGAAGGCTGAGCCAAGAGGATCTCTTGAATCCAGGAGCTTAAGGCCAACCTGGGAAACAAAGCAAGGCTTCATCTTTTTTTTTTTGCTACTATTTTTTTTTTTTTTGGTTTTTCGAGACAGGGTTTCTCTGTATTGTTTTGGAGGCTGTCCTGGAACTCACTCTGTAGACCAGGCTGGCCTCGAACTCACAGAGATCCGCCTGCCTCTGCCTCCCGAGTGCTGGGATTAAAGGCGTGTGCCACCAACGCTCGGTGCAAGGCTTCATCTTAAACAGAAAAGTATAACAAAAATTAATTTAAAAGTTAATTATATAAAACTACCAGCGAATTACATGATGAAATAGCCAATCAAAAGTTTGTCTATTTGTTGAAAGTATATGTTATAGCCAAGTGGGTGGCACATGCCTTTAATCCTAGCACTCAGGAGGGAGAGGCAGAGGCAGGTGAATCTCTGAATTCAAGGCTGGCCTGGTTTACATAGTGAATTCCAGGAGAGCCAGGGATATGAAGAGAGACCCTGTCTCAAAAACAAATAAACTTGCTTATGCCAAGTTAGGAAGACTCCCTTAAAGGAGCTGCATGAATCTCTAGCAAGACAGAGACCACCAGAGAAAATGCTGTAACCAAGAAGCTGTGCTTGACTTTGTTCTTTTGTTTCTAAAATCCCTTTTTAAGCTTTTATCAGGTTGAAATTCGTGTCCCATGTTGGGCACCATTTTGTAACATGAACTTTCTGGCCCCGGCTTCTGCAGCCACCTCAGAGCCCCCAGATAAACACACAAGACTTATATTAATTATAAAGCTGTTGGCCGCTGGCTATGGCTTCTTATTCTTAACCCATAACTACTAATCTGTGTATTTCCTTGTGGCCTTATCTTACCAGAGAAAGGTCCAGGGACCTGTTACTCCTCTGGCATCCTACATGTCAACTGCTCAGTGCCTCTGCAGAGAAGAAAAGAGAGTGATTTCCTGTTTGTCCCTGCTTATATCCTGATTCTGCCCAGCTGTGTCACTTCCTGCCTGGCCAATCAGCCAATCAGTGTTTTATTCATTAACCAATAAGAGAAGCATATACACAGAAGGCCATTCCCCATCATGTATATTGGGGGTGGCAGAGCGATGGCTCAGAGGTTAAGAGCACTTGTTACTCTTGCAGAGGACCCAGATTCAGATCTCAGCACCAGCATGGTGGCTCCCAGCCATCTGTGACTCCAGTTCCAGGTGACCCAGTTCCTCTTCTGATGCCTGCATATGTGTATATGCAGGCAAAGTAATCACACACAGAAAAAAAATTTTAAGTATATAATGGCTATCAGCACTAGTAAAGGCCAGCCTCTGAATCAGGCAGAGTGGCTCAGACCTGTAATCCCAGCATTTAGAAGATGGGCAGGAGGATTGATACAAGCTTGAGGCTAGCCTGGTCTACATAGTGAGACCCTGTTGTTGGCAGAGCTGCTGTGTGTAGCATTAAGCCTTCCCGTTGTCTGAGCTGTTCCTCCTTTCTGTGTCTCTGGTGTACTGGCTTGCTTTCCAGATAGATACTGGGCTTTCTCACTTGTTGTCTAAGGACATCCCCCACCCCAAGCAGCCTCTTGCTGACTTCCATTTTGAATATGCCTGCTTTCTTGGGCCCTAATTCAAGACATGACTTTCTCTTTCCCTCTTCATTTCCCTCCTGGCAGCTGTCAGTATCCACTGCTAATGCCCTGTTGTTTTTCTTTCAAATTCTAATAAATGCTCCTTAAGCAGCTTTAAGTAAGGTGTGCATCGTCACATTCATTCACCACGCATGCATGCACACACACATACTCAAAGATTTTTAAAAGACACCTTGTGGAGCCTGGAGAGATGGCTCAGAGGTTAAGAGCACTGACTGCTCTTCCAGAGGACCTGAGTTCAGTCTCCAGCAACCACATGGTGGCTCACAACTATGTATAATGGGATCTGATGCCCTCTTCTGGCCTGCAGGCATACATGCAGACAGAGGACTCATATCTAAAAAAATATATAAATACATAATGCAATAAAATTAAGAAAAGTCATGTGGGTTTTCTGAAGCTTTTTCCTTTAGTTAGAGATAATTGAGAGGTAATTATAATTAACGTCAAAGTTTCTTTGTAAGCCCATCAGAGAAGTAGGCAGGGGCAGAAGGTTGGTTCAGGGTCACATCTCCATGGTGCAAATCACAGGGTCTGGCCAGCGCTCAGCCACCTGTGCTCCTCGAGGGCCACTTTGACCTGCCTGTGTCTCCTTCCCCAGGGCCTATGACCCTGCAGACTATGAGCATCTGCCAGTCTCAGCTGAGATCAAGGAGCTCTTTGAGTACATCAGCAGGTAAGCATGCGAGCACCCACTGTGCTCCACCATGCCTGCCTTGCCCAAGCCATGGCACTCCAGTGCGAAGCAACACCAAGCTCCTTTGATGCTTTTTAGCCCAGCCAAGTGACATTTTCTCACTGCTTCCACCTTCCCTCAACTGTCTCTTGTAGGTACACACCTCAGCTGATCGATCTGGACCACAAACTGAAACCTTTCATTCCTGATTTTATCCCAGCTGTTGGGGATATTGATGCATTTTTAAAGGTACAGATGGTGCATCCAAAAAACAATTCCCCCGGGGTTTGCTCCAGCTCCTGTATTCTAATAGTTCCTCTAATCTCTCTGATGAGAACTGACTGCCTTAATAGTCTTCAGTGCATTGGAGTTCTTAGTCTTGTTGTCTCCTCAATTCTACTCACTGGGTTATGTGGTATAGTATTGTGTGTTTGTCCCCTAGTTAACCATGAATTTAGCCCCATATTTATGTTCCATACATTATGTAGGTTCATTCTAGATAGGACTAGGTCTAATATACCAGAAGGGTATGCTTTTTACTCTTGACACACTACTGGAAATTCACTCCCGTAAATAATAATTTCCAGCAGTTTATGGCAAACAGAAGCCAGAGCTCTGCTGTGGATCCCCCATTTCCTCTCAGTGCTGCTAACCTTTCTCTGAACCAGGTGCCTCGTCCTGATGGAAAGCCTGACCACCTTGGCCTCTTGGTGTTAGATGAACCATCTACAAAGCAGTCAGACCCTACTGTGCTTTCGCTGTGGTTAACAGAGAATTCCAAGCAGCACAACATCACAGTAAGTTGCTGGTCTAGAGCAGGGCCCAGCTGGAAAGCACAGGATTAGGTCAGAAGCTGCATAGACTATTGATACTAAAAGAGGGTGTGGCTTCAGGCCAGCCTGGGTTTTAGTGATGGCTTTATTGAGATAGTTTACACACACTTTTTATTTGAAGATTATGAGTATGGCTTTTGCTTGCATGTATGTCTGTGCGTCACATGGATGCAGTGCCTGTGGGGGCCAGAAGAGAGCATCGGATCCCTTGGAGCTAGAGCTAAAATGGTTGTGAGCTGCCATGTGGGTGCTGGGAATTGAACCTGGGTCCTTTGTAAGAATAGCCAGTGCTCTAACCTCTGAACCATCTCTTCAGCCCCAGGAGCCACCATTCTAAATTAGACAATTCACTGGCTTTCAGTTCATTCCTGGAGTCATATACTTATCGTTACTATATAGTGCTTTTCTATGCTCGTCAGGTGTCCTAGCTCTGAGCCTTTCATCACTTCAGAAAGAAGCCCTTTAGCTGTTCTGTTTGTAGACTCAAGTGACCACTTCATTCTCCTTTATGACTCAGTAATATTCTTTTTATGTATAAGCCACATTTCATTAGGCCCATCATTTGTTCCTACTTTTGTTAATTATGCAGCTAGAATATTCAAATATAAGTCTTTATGTGGCATATGTGTAATTTTTCTTGGGTATATGTGGAAGAGGAGGATTGCATCGCCATTTGCTTACTCTGCTCAACAATTTGAAGAACTGACAAAATGTTTTCTGAACTAGTAGCAGTCCCACCAGCAATAAATGAGACTTGAGATTTCTCACACTCGTGATTGGCCCTTTGGTCCCAGCCGTCCTGGCAGATGTGAATGGCGTTTCCCTGGGGCAGCCTCCCTTTCACTGTGCCTCCTTCCTTGGCTCCCCCAGTCGTTGTTTTGTTTTCTTTTCTTTTTGAGACAAGATCTCAGGTAGCCCAGGCTAGCCCTGATCTTCCTGGCTCTACTTCCCAAGTTTACAGGTGCATATTGCTATGCTCAGCTAACAGCACTTTTTCTCCTCTTGGATTTTGGGATAGGATCTGTCTATAGAGCTCTGGCTGGCCTGGAACTCACTAAGGACCAGGATGGCCTCACACTCACTGAGAGCTACCTACCTCTACCTCCCAAGTGCTGGGATTTAATGTATTTGCCATCAGGCCAAGCAAATAGCACTTTTCCAGTTAATTGTTTTAAATTACTGTCCTAATATGCTTTCTATTGCTGTGATAAACATCATGACCAAAAGCAACTTGGGAAGGGAAGGGTTAATCTGGCTTCTGCATCTCATGTCTGAGTCCATTCACTGAGGGAAGTCAAGCCAGGAACCTGAAGGCAGGAACTGCAGCAGAACCATGGAAGAGTGCTGTGTGCTGGCTTGTTCTTCCTGTCCTGCTCAGCCTGCTTTCTTATATACCCAACATCACCTGCTTGTACACCCACATCAAATTGTCAACCAAGCAAACGCCCCACAGACTTCCTCACAGGCCAAATTAATGGAGGCAATTTGTCAACTGCAGCCCCCTCTTCTCAGATGACTTCAGCTTGTGTCAAGTTGACATAAAACACCACCACCACACACACAAAATGCCCAAATAACCAACACAGTTATTATACAAAATAATGGGTTTCATTACAATTTATCTATATCATTGTTCTCCTTATTTTTCTAGCAACATATGAAAGTAAAGAGCCTGGAAGATGCAGAAAAGAATCCCAAAGCCATTGACACCTGGATTGAGAGCATCTCTGAGTTACACCGCTCTAAGCCCCCTGCGACTGTACACTACACCAGGTGATGATAACTGCAGGTCGCTAGGTAGTTTCCTTCCTGCACGACGGTACGTGGCAGAGATAGGACTTCACCACTGTAGTTTACAGTAACTGTCACCATCTGTGACCCTTTGCTCCTGAGAAAAGGCCAAAACCTGAAGGATCAACCTGAGGTCCTTAAAAAAATGTACATTTACACTGTGCTTCATTTGATTAGAAATAGGAAAGTTGGCAGCTGCTGGCACAGACTGCGGATGCAAAGATGAGTCTCTGCATCGTTAGTTAGCTGGCTGCTTCAAACCTACGCCCTGCTAAATCTGGTTTTCCATTCTAGGTTCTCCTGAAACCCTGGTGTGCCCAGTTGAGGACCTTGTTTAGAGGTAGCTGATGCCATTGGCCAGTGATCCCTCTTTATATTTACTTTTCCACTTTTAGGCCCATGCCTGACATTGACACACTGATGCAGGAGTGGTCCCCAGAGTTTGAAGAGCTCTTGGGAAAGGTGAGTGGGAAGGAGTAGGAGTAAGTGTGGCATCCATCCAGGGCCCAGTGTTTTTCTTTTCTGTGTTATCACTGTGACTTTTAAATGGAACTGGAACCCATGATGGAAATGTATACATACTCTAAAGCTTGCTCATTTTGCCAGCTGAACACACTTATGTAACCAACACGTTAGATTAGTAAACGGTGTACTGCTAGCCTTCCAAAAACCCATTCTACTCTCCCCTTTCAAAGTGACTACTGTCCTGTGTTTGTATTTTCTCTAAATCTGAACTCTTCCCTGTTTCCATCCTTGCACTGGACATTGAACCTAGAACCTCATGCATGGTAGGCAAGTGCTCTACCACTGAGCTAGTCATATTAGCAGCCCTCTAAACGTTCTTTTATGCCGTCTTCTTCTCTACATGATGGGAGATTCATCCATGTTATTCTATAACTTGTTTATCCGTTTTCATAAATGAATTATATACTGCCTTCAATTGGTTGTGATAGGCATTTGGAGAGCTTCCGGTTTCCATGTATTGCAATAATGCTACTGGGACATTTTGTCTGTCAGGCACCTCTGATGAACATGCCCTACCTGCGCTACTATTTTAAGTGCCATTTTCTCTAGAGCTGATTTTTGTGTTAGTCTAAGAAGCTAATGTTTCATTCATAATTGCCAAGATGTTTAAATCTTATCTATCCATCCATCTATCCATCCTTCTATCTATTTTGCCTGTCTGTCTGTCTAACAGTCATCTTATTTCCTGGGGATTGAACTAAGCCCTTTATCAAGTTAGCTATGTTCTTTGCCCTGCACTCTAATTTTTGTAGCAAGAGAAAAAAAATTAGGAAACTATTTTTTGTTGTTGTTTGTTTGTTTCAGAGGCAGGCTCTCACTGTATAGTCTAAATTGAAACTGACTGTTCAGCCAAGGTTGGCCTCCAACCCACAGTACTCCTCCTACTTCAACCTCCTGAGTGCTGGAATTACAGGGATAAGCCACCACACCCAAGCAAAACCAAAGTTTTCTTTATTTTTACTTTTTCTCACTAGCATACAAACTGTCAACTTTTATTATGTCATGTTCATACATACTTACCTGAAGTTGAGCCTTTCCCCAAGTCCTCTCTCCCTCACTCCTCCTTCCAGTGAACTCTCTTCCACTGTCATATCCTGTGTATCCTGTGACCCTTCCCACTCTCCCCTTAACCCTTATCTTTCCCTTCTTAAGGGTCTCTTTCTTGTTTCCTAGCCTCTTCCAACACTTACTCTCACATAAATACATATATACAAAAATTAAAAGTGAGAGGCTGCATATGAGAACATAAGTTATTTGTCTTTCCACTTTCCTGTAAATTTCATTTCCTGTTTCCTCATGGCTAAATGAAATTCTGTTGTGTACAGGTACATTTTCATTGTCTGTCCATCTGTTGATGGGCACTAGACTGAACCCATGTCCTTGCTTTTGTGAATACTAGAGCAGCAATAGTCAATGGATGAGCATCTCTGTAGTAGGCATCCTTTGGGTATGAGCATCTCTGTAGTAGGCATCCTTTGGGTATGAGCATCTCTGTAGTAGGCATCCTTTGGGTATGAGCATCTCTGTAGCAGGCATCCTTTGGGTATGAGCATCTCTGTAGCAGGCATCCTTTGGGTATGTGCCCAGGAGTGCTAGAGATGAGCCATATGTATGCACATTCCCTTTTTAGTGTTTGTTTTTCGAGACAGGGTTCTTCTGTGTAGCCCTGGCTGTCCCAGAACTCACTGTGTAGACCAGGCTGGCCTCAAACTCAGAGATTCATTTGCCTCTGCCTCCTGAGTGCTAGGATTAAAGGTGTGAGCCACCACCGCCCAGCTCTAGTTTTAGGTTTTTGAGAACCCCCTTACTGACTGCAGTGGCTGTGCCAGTTTGCACTCTCGTTAGCAGTGAGTAAAAGTCGCCATTCCCCACATCCCTGCCAGGGCTTGTTTCTGTTTTCTTGATGACAGCCACTGACTGGTGAGAAATAGAATCAAAGTAATTTTACTTTCAAGGAAATAATTTAGGTTCATTTTTGTACAGGGTAAGAAATATAGATCTAATGTTACTATTTTAAAAGTGGATATCTGGTTCTGTTAGCACTAGTTACTGTGAAGGTTCCTTTTCCAGTGTTGATTCTTAACAGCTTTGTCAGAAATTAGGTGTACATAGCTATGCGTTTTGTGTCCTCTTGTCCATACTGTCTTGTTTTGTGGTAGTACTGTGCTGTCTTTGTTACTGTGGCTTTGAGGTAAGGTAATGTGATACTTCTGGCTGTGTTCTTTTTGTTTAGGACTACTTTGACTATCTGTGGTCTTTGTGTTTCCATATGAATTGTGGAAATGCCTTCTGTGGTTCTGTGAAGAATGTTACCAGAATTTTGATAGGGGATTGCATTGAATCTGTAGAATATATCCATTAGTGTAGCCATTTTCACAATATTAATAATTGTGATGGGAGTGTAAGCATGCCATGGTCTACATATGTAGGTCAAAGTCTACTTTATGGAATTGGTCTCTCTTTTCACTTCTGGGGTTTGAATTCAAGCTATGAGGCTTGCAAGGCAAATATTTTATCCACTTGGTTGGATCCTCTGCAAGAGCAGTGTATGTTTTTAATGGCTGAGCCTCTTCCTAATCCCTTGTTTTTGTTTTTTTGAGACGGTACTTCTGTGTAGCCCTGGCGATCCTGGAACTCAGAGGTCCACCTGCCTCTGCCTCCTGAGTGCTGGGTTTAAAGGGGTGGCACTACTGTCCAGCTTCCAGTCCCTTCTTTTGCTTGTTTGCTTTTGACATTCTCACAATATAGCCACAGATGGCCTGGAACTCACAGCAATCTGTTCATGAGTTCTGTCTCCCACGTGCTGTGCTTAAAGGCCCCTTTGAGCCTTTTGGCTATGGTCCGTCATGTGTTGTGCTTAAAGGCCCCTTTGAGCCTTTTGACTATGGTCCATCATGTGTTGCGTGCAGGTGAGTCTGCCCACGGTTGAGATCGATTGCAGCCTTGCCGACTACATTGACATGATCTGTGGTAAGCTCTTTCCCTTCTTCCCTAGCCCTGTCTCTGGCAGATGTGCTCGAGGCCTTTGGAGGGCTTGCTGATCCCTGCACAGTGCTGTCCTGATTTGCAGTCTTCACTGGAAGCCAGCTGTGCTGCTGGTAGTCCTCTAGGGTGGTGTTGGGGCTGAGTACTGACCCCAAAAGTAACATGTCCCATTTGGGAGGGGAGTGCATCCTAGCAGAAGTGCCCCCAGTTCCAGAGCGTGTTTGCTTGTGTTCTGTGAGCGCTTCTCTCTTGCAGCTATCCTGGACATTCCTTTCTACAAGAGCCGGATTCAGTCCCTCCACCTGCTCTTTTCCCTCTACTCTGAGTTCAAGAACTCCCAGGTGAGACAAGCAGCAGGTTACCAACACTGCCCCGGCCCTGCTGTGACTGTGTTCTTATTGGGGTCACAGCGCTCTTCCCATGAGCAGCAGAGGAGTTTGGGTAAGGGAAGTAAGAGAGGTTGTGCTTTAGATGGAGCTTAGTGAGGAGCCAAACAAAGAAGCACAGGGCCCATGAATGCAGGCAGGAAGGAAACAGAACAAGGCTTGTTTTGAAGGAGATGGGTACATTGCTGTCCCTTTCAAGGATAAAACCAGTGTATTAGCTTGGAAGTAGACTTAGGACATGCTTGGGGATATGTCTCACTATGGCCAAGGCTGACTTGGAAATCATGGTGTAGCTAGCTTTGAACTCACAGTGATCCTCCTACCTCAACCTCCCAACTGCTGGGATTACATACTGGTGCCACCTTGCTCAGTTTAGTCTAAAGGGGTTTTAAAGTGGTCATTCAGGTTGGAGAGATGATGGCTCAGAGGTTAAGAACACTGGCTGTTCTTCCAGAGGTCCTGAGTTCAAGTCCCAGCAAACCACAGGTTGGCTTACAACCATCTATAATGAGGTTTGGTGCCTGCTTCTGGCCTGTAGGCATACATGTAGGCAGAACACTGTCTATATAATAAATAAATCATTATCTAAAGTGGTCATCCTTGTTAGAATGTAGCAACTAGCATGTTCCAAATTGTGTCTTCTCTTTCTTGTAGCATTTTAAAGCTCTAGCTGAAGGCAAGAAAGCATTCACTCCTCCGTCCAACTCTGCCTCCCAGGCTGGGGATGCAGAAACACTAACCTTCATCTGAGCCATCCTAGGGCTGTGCTTCAGAGTCTCATGAAGACATGGTCTTTGTTGGCAGTTTAACATCGGCCTCTCCACAGCTGGACCAGGCAGCTCGAGTACTGCTGTCTGTCTGCACGAGCAGGGCACACCCTTGCCACTGGGTTCCTCCCACCTGCCTCCCGTTGCCTTCCCCAAGGATGGACGTATCCATGCTACTGTGGGCATTTAAGTCGGAAGAACTGGTTTTCTGAGAGCCACAGGACAGGGCTGGGGGTGGAGCTTCCAAAAACACTCCTTAGTTAACTGGAAGAGATTTTACACTCAAAATGTCCCATCAGTTGTGATAGAATATATATTTGGTTTTCACCCATGGCTCCTGGCTCATTACTTCCCCATTGTGATTTCCAGAGTGACTGGATAGGGTTGGGGGCCTCAAGTCAGGCCTGCCTCTGACTTTCAGACTCACGTTCTTTCTCTCTCTGACCTTCTACCCCCTTTCACCCGCTCTTTTCTTCCCAAGCTGGCCTCAAATTGAATTTTCCTCAAGAAAGTCATGGACATTTGCTCTTAAAGTCTTATATTCTTCTATTTTTCTTTTGTTGGGAGTATGAGACAGAGTCTCATGAAGCCCATTTTGGCTTTGACTTGGCTGTGTAGGCTGGTCTTGAAGACTTGATCTTCCTGCCTCCACCTCCTCCCTCTAAGTGGGAGGCTTACAGACATACTCACTCAGCCAAGCCCAACTTATTCTCAAATCTTTTGGCCTGCTTAGCTGATGCTAATAGATCCTCACTTAGATGGGGTCTTGCCCCTTCTTAGCAAGGAAGCAATACTGAGGAATTTTTTACCCAGTCATATGGTTCATGTTTCAGCTGTGCCTTTGTCTCCATGAAAACTTCAAAGGTCAGGGCACGGAGAACTGCCTAACAGTCAGAGGCAGGGAGGTTCTGGGAAGGTAGCATGCATCTTACATGTCCTTTTAAATTTGAAAATAGTCTTACTGATTGATTTTAGACAGGGCGCCTGTACAGCCTAGAGTGGTCTATAGTTCACTATGTAGCTCAGGCTAGCACGAACTCTTTATCCTCTTCCTTTGCCTCCTGGGACTGATGGAAGCACATAGAAGTTAAAGATTGCTATTTAGGACAGGAGTTGGCTGTGGCCAGACGCTGAGGGCTAAGGAAGATAGCAGAGCCTCATCCACCACTGCAGGGACTTTGGATAAAGCTGTAGCTTCCTCTCCCACCTCCTAGCCTCCCATGACAGACACCAATGCAGGCCAGGAATTGGGATCCAGCAGCATGAGAACGAGGAATTATCCTTTGTCCATTTGGAAGCTCTGAGCCCTGTCTTTTGGAATTTTTATGGGGACCTCATTATTGCACAGGCTTGATTGGCTCCAGGACAAATATGTAGAAATAAGACTAGCCCCGCCGGGTGGTGGTGGCACACGCCTTTAATCCCAGCACTCGGGAGGCAGAGGCAGGCGGATCTCTGTGAGTTCGAGGCCGGGCTGGACCGATAGCCTCCAAAACAATACAGAGAAACCCTGTCTCGTAAAAACCAAAAAAAAAAAAAGACTAGCCCCAAAGAGTGTGATCTATTGCTAAGATGCTGGGGAGGAAAACCTAGCAAGGCCCCTTTGTTTGCTCCTTCAGTATTTCCTTCTCTGGAGAGACACACCAGTAGAGGTAGAACCAGCAGAGCCTGGTGATAGACTAGACACGGGGATGGAGAGAATGGCAGTTTGGGTGTAAGTGACTGAATGGATAATGGAGTCAAATACTGATGGGAAGAAAGTGGGACCAGGGTGGATTGGAGGGAAGAGTCCACTGTCAGCCCGAAAGACCAGCATACACAGACAGTTCATGTTTCTATAAACTCAAACCAGCTGTGATCGTGTCAGGCTGGTGGCTTCGTTGCTGCCTCACTGGGACACTAGGCCAGGTGCTCTGCTCTCTTCCCATCACAAGGAGGGGGAGGTGTGTTGATAGGAGCCCAGATCCTCCGATAGGTTTCCAGGGTACAGACAACCTTGACTGCAGCTATTACTCATGGTAGTTAAGGCACCTGCTGTGTGATTAAAAAGTCATTTAATACAGGGAAGATTGGCATAGCCCCTGCACCAGGATGACAGGGAAATTCATGAAGTGCTCCATATTTTTTCTCTGTTTGAATCGATTTGTGTTTTGTACAGGGCATTATCCTCTGTGCTATTTTGTGGTTATAAAACTGTTGGAAATGCCGGGCGCTGGTGACGCACGCCTTTAATCCCAGCACTCGGGAGGCAGAGGCAGGCGGATCTCTGAGAGTTCGAGACCAGCCTGGACTACCAAGCGAGTTCCAGGACAGCCTCCAAAGCCACAGAGAAACCCTGTCTCGAAAAACCAAAAAAAAAAAAAAAAAAAAACTGTTGGAAATGTTTAGAGAAAGAGAGGGAGAGGGCTGTCTATGCCCTGGCAGTGTAGATTAGTAATTGAGCACCTCTGTGACACTCACCAAGCCCCAGGTTCCGTCACCAGCACAGTACAAAGAGAAAGGGGTTGGGGCCCATTTGGAAACGTACTTGGAAAACAAGGGTGGTGGTGCATGGCTGTAACCCTGGCCCTTGAGAGGTGGAGGCAGGTAGATCAGACGTTCAGTGCTCTCCTCCTGTCCAATAGTGAACTCAAGGCTAGCCTAGACTACATGGGTTCCGAGCTCAAAAAACAAACACAAATAAAAACTGTTGAAGAAATGAGCAAAGACATACTTATTCAGTCAAGGTAGTTTACTGTGTGTGCAGCACTAACCAGTAACAAGAAAAATTACAAAACAAGATACCAAGAAGGGAAAATATACTCTGTTCTCCAGTCACTTACAGGTTGCTTTTTAAAAGCATTCTCAGCTCTTTGGGGTTATGTGGGTTCCTGCTTTCTCTGTGTCCCCCTAAATCTGGTACTGTTGACTTACATGTCCACTGTGACCATCCCCTAAAGAGGATGGGGCAGCCAGGGACCAGTTGGGGATGTTGTTGGATGGAGGAAGAATCATGCAGAGAGGGAACCCATCAATCCTGAGTGCTCAGAACACTCAGTGAGTCTTGAAGGCCAAACTAAGAAGGCCCTGGGCCCTCCTTTCCCTGGGGAATGTGCTTGTACAAAACAATGCATAGCTACATGCCATCCTGGGCCAGAGTCACCTCTTCCTGCTCATCTTGTGCTAACACAGAGGCTGGCACCTGGGGGCTCCAGCCATGGAGGTCACGTCTAATGTATGACTTCAGATGCACAGGAGGAGGTGGGGACAAAAGGGCAGAGAGATGTGCAGCAAAAGGGACTAATTTGTGCTTGGCCATGCCCCTGGGCAAGGGGCTGGCTCCTGAGCAAAAGGCAGTTTGGTTCTATACAGCTAGCAGGGGGCTGTTTTCCCTGAGGGGACAAAGCTGCATAGCATAGGAAGGACATCTGAGCTCTGCAGGGACCCTCCTGTCCCCCACATAGGCATCCCTCTGCCTACTGTATGGGGTGCAGGGAATACTAGTGCAGAGCATATAGTAGGCCCATCTCCTACATGTGGGGTGACACCTGGACAAACGGGCCAGAGTTCCATCTACCTGGAACCAACTGAGTTGAGTACAAGGGGCCCAGTTCTGACCAATGGTCTTGCCAAGGCTAGACCATGCCTTTCAGGTAGAGTGCAATGAAATACATCATGCAGGACCCACAGGACACCTCTACCAGGAGGGCCATGTGGCAGTGGCATGTCTTCACAACACGGCCAGGCAGAGGAAGGCTTGAAGGAGACACGGGGTGGGGTGCCCTGGGGAGTCCACAAGCCACCTGGGCCTCATGCCTCACCCGCACCCTCAGAGCCAGATCTCATCACTGCTGACACTCGACACTCGGTAAATGTAGCCCAACATCGGGAGGCGGATAAAGCCTGTGGGTCAGAGATGCCAGGGGCTTGGTAACCCTGGTTCTCTGGAGCTTGGAGAAGCCCTTTCTGCTCCCAGCACCAAGGGGCATTGGGTGTAAGCACAGGGGTGTGAAGAGGAGGTAGGGAGGACAGCAGGGCTCAGTACCTCTGCTGGTGAGAAGGAGGTAGGGAGGACAGCAGGGCTCAGTACCTCTGCTGGTGAGAAGGAGGTAGGGAGGACAGCGGGGCTCAGTACCTCTGCTGGTGAGAAGGAGGTAGGGAGGACAGCAGTGCTCAGTACCTCTGCTGGTGAGAAGGAGGTAGGGAGGACAGCAGGGCTCAGTACCTCTGCTGGTGAGAAGGAGGTAGGGAGGACAGCGGGGCTCGGTACCTCTGCTGGTGAGAAGGAGGTAGGGAGGACAGCGGGGCTCGGTACCTCTGCTGGTGAGAAGGAGGTAGGGAGGACAGCGGGGCTCGGTACCTCTGCTGGTGAGAAGGAGGTAGGGAGGACAGCGGGGCTCGGTACCTCTGCTGGTGAGAAGGAGGTAGGGAGGACAGCGGGGCTCGGTACCTCTGCTGGTGAGAAGGAGGTAGGGAGGACAGCGGGGCTCGGTACCTCTGCTGGTGAGAAGGCCACCAGGCTCAGCTTCTAGAAGCTCTGGATGGCTGCTGTGCTGAGCCATTGGCCGCTCTGTTGCTTTCCCTGTTGGGTGAGAAATGGAGTGGTACCCAGGACAGGGTTTTGCCTAAGGGGACATGCCTCTGCCTAAGAACCAGGGTCTCTCCTTCTTAGAGGTTGTAAAGATTAAACACAGAGAGAACTGGTCCCAGACATACCTCTGAGATCCGGGGTGAGGTCATTGAGCTGAAGGTTGGATGGGAGGGACATGTTCTCCCGTGGCAGGCGTACATTATTCAGTTTCAGGTTATTGGAGTCACTACAGGATAGACAAAGGCTAAGACAGACCCTGGTACCAGCAGGTATGTGCAGTCGGCTTTGAGGCTCAATCCAGACCTCCCAGAAGCCCCAGGTTACCACCTGTCCTTTAGTTTAAAATCCAGTGCCTTGCATTTTAGTTTAGCCCATCTGCCCAGCCCCAGGAAGCATTACCTAGATATCAGAGATGGGCGCCGGGAGGGGCCTGAGGACAAAGAAACCATGCCACAGAGTCAGTGTGCCCTCCCATGCTGAGCTCTGCCACCTGCCCATTCAGACTCAAGACCCTTGAGCCAAGAGTCTCTGGATGTGCAGACCTGGCCCTGGGACCGGAGACAGCTCCAGTACCTCTTCCTGCTGCCCACAGTGCAAGCAGCCTCACACCCAGCCCTCCCTGCAAGTACCCTGCCACACGTCAGAGATGCCCGGCTCTGCCCAGCTCTGCCTGGCTCTGCTTACCCCCCTTGCTGCTGCTCACCCCCAACTTCACTGTCACTATTCCACCCTTGGCCTCCATTCCTCTGGCCCTACCTTTAGTTTTCTTCTCTTTCCTGCAGACTAGACAGGCCACCAAGGCACTGAACCCCACGAGAGTGCCCAAGGCAAGCCCTCCAGCCACAACGATGCCCAGCAGTGGCACTTCTACTCGGGTGGCCAGGAGCCCTGTGGATTGTCCACTGGTTAGTTTGCAAGTACCCCCACCCCAACATGCCATAGCTCTATCTACTCTGTCCTTGCCCAAGGCGCCTGGGGACAACTCATCTACAAGACCAACCATAGGGCAACAAGTCCTCCCTTTCCATTCCAGGACCCCTGCACCCACCTGAGGGTTTGCCAAGCCAGTTGCTTACCTGGAGCCGGAAGAGAGGCACTGGTAACACCCACATCATTGGTGGCCACCACTGAGAGGTTGTGAGCCAGGCTGCGGAGCTGCAGCTGCACTGTGTGGTTGGTGAGCCAGGGATAGTTCTGAGCGTCCAGCACCAGGAAGTCAGAGGCATTGACAGTCACTGGCCCATCCTGGTCAATCCAGGTGACATTGGCAGGTGGGTTGGCCCGCACCAGGGCAAACAGGACTACCAGAAGGCCTGGGCCCTGAGCTTCCTGATACTTGCCCCCGACCTGGGCAATCTCTGGCTTAACTAGAGCAGAGCAGAGAATAATACACTCTCATTCCACTATCCGCTCACTCTGGCCCTTTCTTCCCAAATGTGGAGGGGAGCAAGAGCCTAGGAATCTCCTCAGAAAGAAATTTAAGGAGCAGCATCAGTTCACCATGATTAAGACAGAAAGCCAGGGACTGGGGATGTGGCTCAGTAGAAATCCTTGGGTTTGATACCTAGCAAAGCATAAAACCAGGTGTGGTGATCATGCCTGTAATCTCAGCATTATGGGGGTGGGGGGATATTTCCAGTTTGAGGCCACTTTTGGATATGTAGCAAGACTCTGCCTTAAAATTCAAAAGCCTCGGCTGAGGATGTGGCTCAATTGGTAGTGTTTGCATAAAGTCCCGGGTTCAGTCCTCACACCAGGCATGGTGGCACCAGCCTAGGGTCTCAGTACTAGGGAGGGAGGAGCAAGATCAGAAGCTCAGAGTCATCCTTGGCTACTTAGTAGGTTTGAAGAAAATCTCAAAGTATAAAATTAAAAAATAGAAAGCCAGACAAAGGATCTAGATTTGCATCCTTGCCCTGTTTCTTAACCTTGACCTTGGGCAGACTGTTTAACATGTTTGTGCCTCAATTTCTCGTTTGCAAAATAGGGACAAAGAAAGAAATGCCTTATGAGATCAATGAGGATAAAAGCAAGCTACATTTACAAAGTGTCTGTGAATGTCCTGTTAAAGCTGAATGTGTCATGCATACCAGTAATATCATCACTAGAGAGGCTGAAATAGGAAACTTTCAAGTTCAAGGCCAGCCTAGGCTATGTAGTAATAGTACCTCAAAACAGAACACTCAAAACTGTTCTGCTGAGGGTCCAGGAATGTCTCTCCCTGCCCACCTCAGGAATACTTACACTGCACATTGAGAATGACAGAGGCATTGGCTGGCTGGCCACTCCCTGGGTCCTGCAGGGAGCAATTAAGCTCATGCTGGGCACGCTGGGCAGTGACAGTGAAAGTGCTGGTGCCTCCAGAGAAGGCCTCCCCGCCCACACTCAGGAGTCTAGAGGTGGTGGCCTCCTGTAGCTGTCCATCCAGGTACCAGGCTAATCGGGGAGTGGCAGGTCCCCCTGCCACTCGACAGGTGAAGGCATGGCGCTCATTCTCCCGAAGTGCTCTCTCAGCCCAGGTCTGACCGTCAATTTGTGGTGCCAGCTCCCCTTGACCTGGAACACAGCAGGCCGCTTCTGGGACGGGCTTAAGACAGGCCATGGTGAGGTCCAGTTACAGAGGGGCAGCGGGCCAAGAGAGGCAAGCTGGTTTCTCTCATCAGGGCCTGGCTGGACTTAGGATAGGGAAGTGGAGATAGGGGAACCCAGCTCTGGAGTCTGAAGTGGCCAAAGGATGAACAGGGGTATACCTGAACTTAAGAGGGCTGGCAGGAGCAGCAGCGTGTGCCGGAGGGTAGCTTGGTTCAGCGGCAACTCCATAGTGGTCAGGGATGGGCCTCCAGGCTGCTGAGAAAAGGGTATAGCTTTGGTATGAGCCAGGTAGGCCTAGCAATTCCTGCAAGAACTTACCATGCACTGGAGTAGACTGGCCCACAGTGGCCAAGACACTAACACAAACAGGCACAATCAACAAGACCCAAAGGAAGAGACACTAAGGGCACAGAAGCCAGCACTGACAGTAGGTGACCACAGACACACACAGACAGACAGATACACACACACACACACACACACACACACACACACACACACACACACACACACACCCCACGTTCGGTCCACATGTGCTCTTCCCCTTCCCCGCAGGGGATCGTCCTTCTCCTGACCGGGTCCCCTCCAGGACTGGCTTTCCTTCCCATCTCTCCATGCATCCCTTTCCCAATCTCTGCTGCTCAGGTGAACTTGGGACGAGAGCATCGCGGAGCTGGGGTGGAGGTGGGGGGTCGCAGGAGCATCCTGGCTTCGGAGCATCCTGGCTTACCTGGCTCCCTCCCGGAGCAGCGGCCCTGCAATCGCATTAATCAGGGGAGCGCCGCAGTCCGCTGCAAGGGCGGGGCCCACGCCAGGCAGGACCAATCGCTGCCGGAGCACGCTCAGGTGGCCGCTCCAGCCCCGCCCTCTCCCGCCAGCGCCGCGGCTCCCACCCTGAGGCTGGTTGTTAAGCGAGCGGACGTAAAGCAGACGCAGTGGGTAGTCCTGGAAGTTTTATTGGGTACTGGTTGGTTCAGGGGTCCCCCTCCATCATCCAGCGGCCACGCTCAGTGCCCATTGCTGGGCGCGCGCAGCTGCCCCATCATGTCGGCCAGCATGCGGTTGCACAGGGCGGCGTACGGGTTGAGCAGCACCAGCTGGCGCCGCGCAAACGGGCTGCCCAGTCGCGCAGCCTGCTCGAAGTCCCTACGGGCGTCGTCGTCTCGGCCTTGCAATCGCGCCAGCAGCCCGCGCTGCACTAAGCTCTGGCGGGCGGCGCGACCCCGGCCGCCGCTCAGCGTCACTGCGCGCTCCAAGTCCTCCAGGGCGCCTGTGGGCCGACGGGGAGATGGCGCGGGTCAGCGGGGCGTGGGCATCCGAGCCCCAGCCCACCCTCCAGCAATCCATTCCCGGAATTCACAACCCACATTCGTGTAGCGGACTTTTGAGCCGAGAGGGATGGACATGAAAGGTTGATAGAACTGGCTTGGGAGCCATCCAAGGGTAAAGCTGAGATTAAAGTCCAAGGCTTGCCCTGGCCGTGTTCCCAGTACGTTCTACCACTGATGACCCAAAACGTGAATGTTGCTGAGAGGATTTGGTCATTGTATTAGGGAATCTGCCAACTTCCAAATAGCTGTAGCTCACACCGCCAATAAGTAGGCAAGCATCTATTGTGTGCTTGGTGACCCACTCCAAATCCTAGAGCTCTATAAACATATCATTAGGGGGTTAAAGAGATGGCTCAGTGGTTAGGAGCACTGACTGCTCTTCCAAAGACCCAGCACCCACATGGCAGCTCACAACTGTCTGTAACCCCAATTCCAGGGGGATCTGATACCGTCACACCAATGCACAGAAAATAAAGTTAAACAAAAAACATATTATTAGCTACACAACTGTTTCCTGCTATAAAGTCAGTCTCCTCTTTTTTCCTTTTCCCCTCTTTTCCAATGCAGGCTATGGAAGTGGCACTCTTCCCATTTCCTCCTTCATTATCTCCATGGTCTTCATTACCCTGTATCTAATTTCACTGGAAGAAGGCTGTGGAGCCAGAGCTGGCTGCTCTGTTCTATTTCTGTGATTCTCAGAGGAATGTACTTGGGTTGAGTCTCAGAACTCAGAGCCTCAGGCAGCCAGCTTAGGGTTTTCGTGAAGTCCACCAGCTGCTTTCTTTGGCCCCTGCTTCAATCCATGTTCTCTAGTCTCCCAAAGTGGCTGCCAGGACCCTGTGTTGCTCAGCACCATCATGGAGAAAGGCTGAGCTTCGGTCGTCAGTGGAGCCGGTTTAGGAAACACAGTAGAGCTAGACTGCAGACTGAGCAGGGTCCAGGCGTTGCTCAGTTTCCCTCTCCACGGCTAGTCTGCTAGCACCCAAGTCTCCACAGGTGGAGTCACCTCTGGACTTCCCTGCTTTCCGTCTGCAGGCTGTCCTCAACAGCCTACGGCATACAAGCCTGCAAAAGGGGCTCTTTGGGTGTCTTCTGCTGTCTTTGGGATGGAGTCCAGGTTCTCTGGTTTAGGTTCTAGGACACCCCCACCAACTACTCCTATCTACGGCCTGGTCCTCTACCAGGTCTCTAGTTTACAGTCCTCCTGGCCTCCAGTCCTTCCTCTCTGTCCCAAGATCCCCATTCTAGTCACAGTAACCTGAATACATCAGGTTGGATCCAGTTGCCTTCCCTGCCCAAGCTAAATCCTTGAGTAACCACCACCTTCTCAGTCTGACACTTGTAGCTTGTCACCCTTGGGTCTCTGCAGACCTCTGCAAGGCCCGACTTTCCATCCTTCTATGAGGCCTGCTCCAGCCAGCCTGGAGAGCGAAGGATCTAGGACCTAAGCATGCTTTCTAAGCTCCTAGAGACTATCAACTAATTCCTCATCTTTCAGAACTTGCCCTTCAGGAAGAGGTCCCATGCTGCTTTCTCTCAAATTTGTTTGCTGTTAACCTAGTTATGAGCTCCTTGGGGAGCAGTATCATGGGATTTGGAGACCCACCACCTTGTTCATATCCAGGCTCAGGCACTCCTCACCTGGAGGAGTGTGGGGAGCTATTTAACCTCTGTACACTTCCTTTTCTTCATCTTTACAATGGAATGACAACACATACCTTTTAAGGTGGTTGTGAGAATTGTTAGTACAGCCTGGTTGAATGCATAGTGCCTGGTCCACAGGAACCTACACCAATGTCTTATCTGCATGCCTCTACTTCTAACCTACTGCTGCCTAGAAGGCTCTTATTAAATGTTCCTTAAATCCGTGAACAGAAGGTAGTCTCTTGGTTTTCATAATAGTCTCACGAAGCTAGCAGAATCCATACTCTGTCTTGGATTTTTTTTTTTTTTTTTTTTTTTTTTTTTGGTTTTACGAGACAGGGTTTCTCTGTATTGTTTTGGAGGCTGTCGGTCCAGCCCGGCCTCGAACTCACAGAGATCCGCCTGCCTCCACCTCCCGAGTGCTGGGACTAAAGGCGTGCGCCACCACCGCCCGGCCTGTCTTGGATTTTTAAGTAAGAATATGGGTGTCAGGGCGTTTAGCATCTGTTCCTATGCTCTCACTCCACAGCCACTTCATCTCTGCTCTTCATGGAAGGGAGTCTTTCTGTGGAGGATTTCTGGTGTCTTCCCCTCACCTGCTACATCCCCTTGAAGCCTCCGGGCTTGAGCCCGGTTGTTGTAGGCAGAGGCTCTCTCAGGTAGCAGGCAGATGGCTTGGCCAAACTTCTCCAGGGCTGTGTGGAGGTCCCCGGCTTCTGCTGCCCTCACTCCCTGCAACTCCAGGGCCTTGGACTGCTCCAACTGTTCTTGAGGGAAAACTTCATCTGCTCCAGGGAAGAAACAAAGTAGGGATGTATACAGCAGGGAAAAAAAAGAGAAGCCCATGGGCTTAGGCATTATGACGCCTGAATCAGAGATGACTAGGTGTGGATCACAGCAGAGGTAACTTGCAGAGCTAGGGAGAGGGATAGCTGAAGTCACTAAAACTGGGAACTATCCCTGGGTTAGAGACCTGAGAAAGGACAGGAGAAGAGAACCCAGCAGCTTGCACACTGGTGACTTGTTCTAGACCACAGCCCCAGGTTGTGGAGCTTAGAATTGAACCCTTTTCCTCGGCTCTTTGTCTTGTGCTCATTTTGCTTTACGCACGGCCTGACACAAAGGTCACCATAGGAGTCCCAGGTTTTAAAAACCACTCCCGATCTGTCCTTGAGATTTTCAGCCTGAAGCTGCAGTAAGGTTCAGGCTCCACTCCAGCAGAAGCAAAGCCCCAAACACCCTCATCAGGCAATGGATCATGCTGCTCCCTTGGGGGAAGGGCTAGCTATCTAGGTGCCTGGCTTGTAATAGTGCTTAACAAATGAAGCGCCAATGTTATGTCAGGTTGTGCCAACTGAGCCACCATCCCGTCCTGTTTGTCTTCCATCCCTGGGTGGCGGGGCTGTGGTGGGGTGGTGGTATGGTGGTAACATCCCCTACATTAAAGTCAAAGCTTTGAGAGTTTGACTTCAGCCAGCAGTTAATTTGGATCACAGGAAGACTTTAGTGGTAGGAGACTGAATGACTGAGGTGCAAACTCTGGCCTTCTCTTGACAGTGATTCCTGCCAACCTAGACACTGAACTTCAGAGGACCTCTCTGGTTCCAGTCTCTGACATCATCGGCAACGGTGGAATGAAGGGTCCACCACATCCTGTAGGAGAGCTCAGGGGTCCTCAGCCTATGGAGAGGCACACACCAAGGTCAAAGACTTACCTTCATCTTCTTTCTTTGCTTCTTCCAGGTCTAAGCCAATGACATCTCCAAATGGGGTGTTGGGGTTGAAGATGGCCTGCAGCACTGCCTGATCATTTGGAGTCCCCATGGTACTTAGCTCCGAAGTCCCAAGGTTACTCGGATAACAAGGGAAGATGGTGGGGATCAGGGTGGAGCTTTTAGCTGGCTCTTGTTGTGAATGGAGGCGGTTCAGTTTGGGGACTGCCCCCATGTCAGAAGGGGTGTCTTCCAGTCCTTGGCTCAGCTTCCATGGAAAGGGTTAGTGACCTGGCCTGTGGTTTCACAGTTTTCCCTACTGAACCCATAGCCCTAACAGAATAAACAAACCCTGTTTCAGCCTTAAGGTGGAGTGGCGCACTAAAGGTACTGAAATGCTTTCATTTTATTATAGTCAGTTTAGAAACCACTAACTTCCTATCAGAGGAGGTAGTTAGATAGAAACAACGCCCTTCCGTCCAGAACCTGTAAGGTCTCAGATACACATCACTGCTTAGTGGAGGACACTCTGGGCAAAGGAACAATCTTAAAGAAGGGAGGTGGAAAGCACTCAGTAATCCATTCACAAGCCCCTCCCTCCCTTCTCCACCCCCACCGAGGCCAAAAGGAAGCTAAGCCAAGTGCAGCAATAAACTTGACATGTTTATTAATTAAACTATCACTTAAATAAAAAAAAGTGCATAGAAAATAAACATGTTTAAAAACTCCTTTTTTGTTTTTACAACTATGTACACTTTTTACTTTTACATTCAGTCTTTCGTAGAGCTTTCAGCATTATTATTTTTGAACTATTAAAGTACTTTCCTTCGTCCCTGTCTCAGGGAGTTAACACTGATGGACTTTAGACACATTTTCCTCCCCCACCCCCGCTTTTTCTCTAACCAGAAGCTTGGAAGAACACAAGGGAAAAAAAGGGAAAAAACAAAACAAAACAAAACAATCCCCAAAAGATCCATTTTACATGATACAGTTGCTGAGAAATGTCTTATCTAGAAAT